AAAAAAAGGAAAGAAAGCAAAATAAAATAAAAACAGAGACAGGGCGTCCATCTTCAGCAGGCCAGACTTCGATCTCATTTCCCCCATGAAGGTTTCACTTGACGGCAGGTTTAGTGGCATGGCAAACAATGCCTAACTCAGGCAAGTGTAACAGGTCTGCCTTGGCCAGTCTAGTCATCTAATAATGCACAAATATCACACAGAGAAAACATACAAAACCAAATTAATAGTCAAAATCCATCTACCAGATAATGTGGACATAAAATTTAGAATGATTAGGGTGGCATCTTTGTTATCTTTCAACCTTTGCATTCTTAAAGTGTAACATTTAAAGAAAAAGCTACTCATACACACAAAGGAAAGTCACATTTTGACAGCTTGATAAAGTTACTTCATTTACAATTACATTTTTTGTAAAACTGTTTATTAAATGTCACAAAATTAACATTGATTTCATTGCATCCCTGTCCTCATGCCCCCTTGATTTAACATTGTTAAAATACACTCCAAATTTCAGATTTTATTCTGTTTTTTAAAACCAAATTTTCAGAGTTTCATTTTACCTCTCGCCTACATTCAATTCGGCGCATTAAACATTTCACTCTTGGCACCATTAGCTAACAATATAATTTAACAATATAATGGTAAAATATAGCCACTGCTACTTTTAAAACTTGTGATACACTCCACTGACTCCATTACCAATGCATCCTATCACACATCATGAATCAAAAATGTTGTCCTGTATTCTCCAAAACCACACCTATCCCACACAATAAACTCCTGAGGAACTTAAATCTGTATGAATTCACATTTTCATAAATTAAAATCAGTGACCCTGTTAGAAAGTTACATGGAAACAGCATTATTACCTTTAAAAAAAATTTTCCTCGCAACCCAATCACTAGTTCACTAAATACACAAATCCTTGCAAGATTTGGAATGATTTGGATCAGTGATAATTAACGTGCGATACACTTTCTCAGAAATGCCCACTAAGTCAGCTGCAAATGGGGCTGGAACAAGATTTTTCAGAACTTTCATTTCATTCTCCTTTCACTCACTGTCTACCATCAAGAGACACAGGAAAATGTAGCTTTACCTGCCTGTTGCCATACCACGTCAGGCAGTGATCTCATCACAAGAAAAACACCAGGAAGTGCTGTTCATTCATTTGGCGACAATCTTCCCTCTCTGGCAGTACTGAACCAGTGTTAAGGTCTTTTGGATGAAACATAAAACTACAGTCCTGAATAAGCTACAGGCAACTATTCAGGGGCAATTTTTTAATAACCAGGGCTCTTGATTCATGCATTTTGCCTTCCCTAAGTTTAAAGTGGATAGGGCAACATCCTCTTTGCAGTTAAAGAATAAGTTGAAAGAATAACACCAAAAAATGCCACAAAGCAAGGCATAAGAAAAAGCTAAAAATCTAGGCTTCAAGAAGTCAAAAAATATGTGCTCACACTAAAAGCTATGAGAATATGCAGTGTCTTAGAGATCACTACAATCTCAGAGCAGCTTTAGAGTTCAAGACATTTTGTAGACTTGCCAGAGTTTGCTACGAACGTCTCAGACCACGATCACCACAGCACTAATATTATTCAGATCACCATGTAGTAAGACTGGGGAAAAAATGGTAGTCTGAGAGCACTATTAACAAACTCCAAGAAGTCAACAACTTTTTTTTAAGCCAAAATTTGACTTGTGATAATAGCAAGTACTTCTGAATTTGCAGCAGTTTATTGTTCAATCACTCAGGGTTCTTTTTTTCAAGGCAAAACAGCTACCATACTTAAAGTGAAGAAAGCTTCACTTTATCATCTGGAATGTTTCTACTCCAGTGAGGTAAAAAGTCTTCTAGACCCAAATGGGCCTATGCTCAATTCCACAAGGATCACAGTGAAGTCAATGGGGCTCTGCCAAACTCCAGTTATTTGTCTACACAGACTTCAGCAACAGTAGGGCCGTGCTTCATAGGACTGTATTCAGACTTGGCATGCTAACAATAAAATTCCCTCACATTCTGCACATCTGCAAAAGTATGGCCTCAGCATTACCTAAAGGAACACTTGTGAAATTACTATTTACCAAACATCTTTACTAAGAGTTATAAAAATACTTTACTCTGGAAGCATTCTATGCAGATAACTGCATTTTTCAAAAGGTGCCTAAAATCATGAGGAGTACAGTGTGTAACAAAGTCTTTTTGTTGCAAACAAAGTATTTCTTTCAACAGGAACAAGAAGAGAAAACTGGAATCTTTTTATGACACTAGGAGGTAAACATCAAACAGTAATTACCACCATGAACACAAACTATTTTAAATTATATAAATCTAAAATGGCCAAATGCACACAGTGCGTGTCAACAAGACAAATTTGAATTTGGTAAAGAAAAATAATACGAATAATAAATATAATCAAAACAAAAAACTGAAAAAGTAACAACAACCACCACCACCCACGGACAAAAAATAATACGTTAAGACCAAACTTCCATGCTACCTTTGCAAGGAAATTACTTAACATATTCAGTGCTCCATTGACTTCAGTGAGAACTCTGTGTGGGAATAAGCTTGCCAAGATAAAAATCACCACTAAGGGGACAAAATTACCTTTGCATCCTCCCAGATATGTAACAATAATGGAAAATTGAATTATTCTAATTTAAATCAGGTCATTTTTTTCCTTATACTGAATTTAAATTAAATCTCTATAACTATGTTTCTTCAGTCTATTTTCATTTTTGTATCAAGGCTTTTTTTTCTTTTATTCTTTTTGCCCCCGAAACAACATTAAAATAAATTAAAAAAAAACAAAAACAACAAAGAACCACCTCCTCACATTGAAAGCTTAAAACAATGAGCAGACAGGACAAAGACCAACATTACAGAAGAATGACTGAAATACTAACCTTCTGCACAGGGCACAACTATCAAAGCTCTGTCAATAAAAACCGTGTTGGTTAGATGCTGGGCCACACCAACACTTGAAGCTTCACGAAACTTAATATAACATACTTTGGAGGAAAAAGCAAGAGGTGCGTTGCTGCAAGACAAAAGGAAAAAAAAACAATCACTTATACTGAATAATGTACTTTTTTTTTTTTTTCCTAAACCACATTTTCTTAATTTGAAAGACTTTTTAGACTTCCTGGAAAAAATTACTTTGAAGTACAGAAATGTACTAATTTGACTTTTATGGCACTAAAAAAAGCACATCACCTCCTTCTTTTTAATGATAAGTTACATAAGCCAAAATCCCAAATTTACAAGACTTACTATCTTTACAAATCTTACTATACAACATCATACACTTCACTATTACTGCAAACAGCACCATGAATCAAAGTATCACATAGTAAATCTACAGTTAATCTTTTTTTTTCTCTGCATAATCCTATTATAGGAAATTCAAACAATAAGACCAGTAATTTTTCAGTGAATCCTCTTCAAATATTAGTCCATACTAGCCTAGTTAGCAGGAGAGAAATAAATCATGCCTGAGAGTCAAGTTTATACAAGTTCTCACATTCAGAATGGCCTGCTAGGTCTTGATTCAGAATACTTCCACACATCAGGGCTGATAGCAAATTACTTTTTAAGTCCTCATCAGACATGTTTGCACACAACTTCTAATCTCACATTTTAAACATCTGACATTTTAAAGAGTTGGACTTCAAAGATGTTTGCCAGAGTTTCTTTACGATGGGGTTGTTTATCTTCAGTCTGGCTATTCAAGGGGGAGGAATTCTTTTTCTTTTTTGGTTGGTTGGTTAATTTCATTTGTTTAGGCTTTTTAAATATACATGCTACCGTCACAACCCGAACAGACAAAGCCTCCAATGAAGATTCCATAGTCCACACTGCTAAAGACCTCTAACCTCATTGCTAACTGAAGAACACAATTCTGGACAAGGCAGATTCAGCCCTCCATAAGTAATCCCCATAAATTTCAACATCTACAGAGCCAGCTATGTGTTATGTACCTTTCTGTAACATTTTCTCCCCTCCATTTTCTAGATTTCAGTCTTGAAAGCTATTTGGAAAGTATGTTAAAAATATTAACAAAAGAACAGTGCATCAACTAGGCTCCAAGAAGTAGCCTGTGTACGAACTCTTTTGAGGATTAAGCTAATCAGGTAACTCACTAGAGAAGTAACTAAGAGGAATAAAAATTCTCTCAAGAGGAGATATCTGCAGAAAAAATAGCAACATTGCATGTACATCCATAGAAAGAATGAAAATCTAAAATTCTAAAAGTTTTTTAGTCTTACAATGATCATTCCTATTCTTTTAAGAAGTGGATCTCCAAAACCTCTCCAGTAGACTTCTTAAGAACAGAGCTCAAAAATGTCCTCTTCTAATTCCTCTTGTTCAGCCAACATTTCTTAAGGTATAACCAAGGCAAACTCACAGTGTTCTTCAAAGCTACAGAGCACTGATGTAAAAAAGCAAGTCTTACACTTGTAATTTAGAATTACTGAAATCTAGCAGCTCTGGACTACAAGAAAACTGAAAAAAAAGAAAAAGAAAAAGGGACCTGGATAAGTCAAACATTTTTGCTATTTTTGTTTTCCTTCCCGGAGAGACCATCCATCTCTCAGGAGAGTAGTAAACATCAAAACCATTTCATATGAATGAGTTGTTCAGAAAAATATAGTAGAAATAAATAAATAAAAGGCTACATACAGAACATCTATCTAAGGTTACAGGCTTTCACGAGGTGTCAGTGCAGAAAACACTAACATAAACAAATAACCTATTAAAATAAGATCTTATGGAATAACTGTACACATCTCTATGACCTCCTTTGCAACAGTCACTGTAGAACGCTGTGAGGTCTAAAAAATGGCCATTCTAGTTCATCCAAATGAAAGCAGTATTACAGCAGAGCTTTCATCACTGCGCACAATTTGTCTCCCTGCTTTCAAACAATTCAGTCTGCAAAAATCCAGTTGGCTGTGAGAGCATTACTCAGAAGTATGACTGGGACTACACACCTCAGACCTAACTGGTCTCCTATGTTGAAAAACAACTCTAAGCTGTAGGAGCAGTTTGCAGACTAGAGTAAACAGCCAAAAGCTGTCACGCCCTGCAAACCAGCTTTGGATTTCAGCTGTACCTGTACCACAAACTGAAAGTCTCCGCCTTCTTTAGAACTACCTGAGCCACACTTCCTGCTCTTACGAATGTCTATTTAAACCAAAAGAAAGGTAATAAATTAATACTTCCCTGAACAACACATTTTGTAAATTTCATTGTAAATAACTTTAGGATGTCTGTAAAAAGAAAAACAAAACACCACTGCTATGCAGCATGTTTCAGGTAACGTTCTACAAAGCAGGGAGCACAGCACTTCCTCTTGCAGTCTCACTGTGTACTGAAAAGTGGTCATCACTTCCCACACAAGCATGGTTTTCTCAGAGGCTTTTCACAAACACAGGTTTGCAATAATGCCTCCCTCCTATGTCAATGGAAACATAACAAGCCTCCCTGTACTCCCACTTGAGAAACTCAGTAAGCACTGGAAGATTTTCAGATGGTAAACTGCCATGCACACATGGAAACAATGACAGGAGTTCTTCTTTCTCAATATGGGAGCTCAGATCTGTAACCAAACCAGGACCACGCACGTGAGAAGCTCTACTACAAGCACTCTTCTAAGCAGAGCTGACAAATCCACACTGAGGTCCTGAGGTAGAATTAACGGTACTTACTAGTTAAAAAAAAATTGTCCTACATGGACTGTGACTATAGTATTCCCCATTTCTGTGGACTTCTGCATCCTACCTAACCATAATTTTCCATGCCATTTTCACATACACCTTCTACTTCTCTTTACAATTATTGAAACTCTTTAGCTTCAGGAGGAAAACAGATCTCATATGGTTAAACTAGTAACCTACAATTAATCCATTTTCTTAAGGCGTAAGTAAAACTACTGTATGTACCAGTAAATTAAAAAAAAAAAAAAAAAAAAGAAAAGCCAAGAAATCATGTTTCCTGACAGGATTTTATAATAACCCCTTGCTTTTACTTCTGATCATTTTTCATAAAAAGCTGGTTAAAATAAGGAAAAGGCAATTCTCAGAATCTCTGCATTTCCTTTCTCACGAGGTTATAGCTTTGTTTATGGAACAAGGATAAGTAGATGACCAAAAGGTTTGGTTGTAAATGGAATAAAAGTGGTCTTCAGGCACTGAAAGCCACCTGCACAAGCCTTCAAGAGAAATCTTGCATAGAAACTGTAATGAAATCAAAGCTTCTTGGTCAAGTTTTTGAAGCCAACAACCAGGAATGTTAAATCAATGCAGCAGACAGAAAAACTCCGCTAGTCTAACAACACCTACATACAAATACAAGTAGATGATTAAAAAAACTCTTCTCACTTCCATGTAACTTTTATTTACTAACTACTGTTACTGAAGACCCATAAATACATGCTATCATTTGTTACAGACTGAACCTTCAATGGAAAAGCTTTTCACAGATCAGAACAGCACACTTCTAAGAAAATAGGTAATTACAAACAAAGGTCGCCATTAACAATCCACAAAAAGAAGGTCCATACTAATGTTTTGCTTCCCAATAACAGAAATATTGCTTTAAGTGCCAATGACAAATAGCTAAAATTAGGACTGTGACCATATGGAAACAACTTCTACAGTGCCAGGATTCTCCAGCACTCTTAAACTCAATCCAAAGGTGATCTCCTCACAGCTCTCATGTGCCTCACTCAGTACCAGGCTCTCAGTAATATGACAAGTACACAACCCATCCTTTTAAAGAGGTGTCTGATTAGCAGTGACTGCAGAAACTGAAAGGCTGTTACCAATGAAAATAAAACACAAAGCGACAAAGTACCAAACAGCATAGCATGATTTAACATTCATTTAAAAATTCATCCAAGTCAATTAGGGATAACAAAATAAAAGAAACTAAGCAGAAACTGGTATTTTAAGCAGTCTTTAGATATGAATTGCTGGGAAAAGTCACTGGGTTCAGGAAGCTCACTTGAAATACTGAAGAGTCATTTTAAAAAACCTTAATTTTAGTCAATACTTTAAAAAGTCAACATGGTTTCTTCATCCCCTCCAAAACGTGTGTGATAACAAGAACTTTAAGTCAAGTATTCCAACATTATCTAATATAAACTGTAATATAAACTGTAAATAACTGTATTTGGCAATTTAAGACTTCCTTTTAGCTTTACAAATAAAACTTAGTCCCACATCCTATAAAGCCAAGGTTTATTAACGATAGGAGACTGGAGAAATGTAGAAAAATGAGTAAAAGAGTAATTCTCTGCAACAGTAATAGTTCAAGAAACCATAGCATAATCTTTTATTTTGTTCTACAGTCATGGAAACACAAAATGTACAGATGGCATCCTTGCTCCCTAGTAAGTTATATACCTTCTCCTTTTTCATCTAGTCAGCAGTACGGTGGTGCACAACAAATTATAGTGGAACAGGGCTAGAACAAATGACCACTTGGTCAAGCACATCACAAACACCTTGGATTGCTCTGACAAAACAAAATATCAGAGGATAAGGAAAAAATAATCAAAGCCAAGATGTAATACTCCAACTTCTAAAATGAGGAAGAAATAAAAAAAAAAAAAACCAACGAATACTTAGGGGCCAAGGTCCAACATGCTATATGACCCTGATCAACCTAATTTGCAAGTATCAGAATACAGCTTGCTTCCTCTTAACTAAAAAAAAAGCAGATTTGTTATTGAAATATTCTATCCAACCATGTTTTATAGATTAAATTTCACCAGGTTACAAGAAAAGTATATGACTGACATACACGACTGACTTGGAAGAAGTGGGTCATAACCTGTTTTTTTTACTCAGAAAGATCACAAGTGATTGATAAAAGGGAGTATGTATAAACTATAAAATGTGTGTATTGTTTTTGTTTCAGCTGAAACAATTGATTTTCTTCACAGTTGATTTTCTTCACAGAGTCCAGTTTGATGCTGTTTTACCTTCAGGAGAAAAAACAATCATGGTAACACATCAATGTTTTAGTTGCTGCTAAGCACGATGGTTCAGAGCCAAGGAAGTTGTACCTTCTTGGACTGCCTTGCCAGCAAAGACAGCTCAGTGTGGGGCTCATAGGGTTGAGATAATGACCAATCTGACCTGAAAGTGTTAAATAAAATTTTTATGAGCAGTGTTAGTAGCTTAACAGCTGCTGGTCACAATGCTGGTCTTTTCATGCACAGTGTTCACTTGCTTCCAATGCTGTTTTTCTTAACTCTGGGATGTTTATTATCTCTTGAGGGCTGGCCTAGACTTCTTCATGGTTTTGCTAGTTTGTATACAACATGCGCTCTTGTTATACCAATTATGGATTTAATTTGGTACTTGTGCTCAGCAGGATGTTCATTCTCAGATTTCAGGAACCCTACTGCAGAAACTCCAGAAAGTACACTCCCTACTGAAGGTAAGCAAAAATAGTTGTGGAAGTTTTTGAATACACCTTGGATATTCTAAGTAGCATGATCTTACGCAGTGGTGAAAAAAGTTTTCATGTTGCGTTGCGTAGTATTGTAACCTATTTTCTAATTCTGCATTGAAGATATTCAGCATACAAACAAAATATTTTTACTTAGCTTAGCCTGAGTGTGCAGAACAGAGTGAAGTTGTGTTCAGCAGGATGGCTGTGCATGGCAAGGTGTGTGGGAGGATATGAGCAAGTATCTATCATGATTATCACCTCCAATAGCACTGGAAATTGCCTTGGAAACTGCAGACTCTTAAAATACTGACAGAATGTTTCAAAAAGATATGCCCTGATCCTGGTAATGCCAAAGAATCACCACTTGCTGCACTGTGCTGAGGTCTGGCCTGTATATATCAAACACTGTTGAACACTATTTGCCAACACTGAATGGAAGAAAATGCCTCTGGATCCGACCCAACCTCTGCAAGTGAACCAGAGAATCAACTCATGCTGGTGCCCCTCATCCCTGTCTACGAGCAGAAACAACGGAAGCAAAAGTCAGCTCTTTTATTGACGAAGAAAGAAGTGGACAAGAAAGGCTACTCCATAACATAGCCATCACAAGAATGGAAGGAAGAGGAGGGATTATAAATGAGTCAATCACCTCTTACCTATTCCTAGGTAAAACATGAGATACATGAAAAGATTTCAGCCATCACCCAGATGAGCACATTGTCACCTAGATGCTCTGATGCTGTTAACAGAGCAGACAGCATAGATCCAGTGAGCATGGAAGCCAGACAACTGGAATCCTTCCCTAGGGAAAGGGGCATTGCCAAAGCAATTGCAAAAGATGAAAATTCTTTCCCCCTCTGAGCATAACTCCTGTCAGCCATGAAGGAAAGGTATTCCAGCAGGGACAATGTTACATGCCAGACAGGCAGGTGGACCAGTATGGAAAAAAGTATCCAGTATATGAGAAAAGTAGCTGTGCTGGAGGTGGTGCATAAGGATAACTTGAACAAGTATCAATTATCCCAAAATCCAGATAGCATCAAGTACAATGATACACGTGGCAGAAGTTTGTAAGGAGCTTCCTATCATCATACACCAACTCACCAGCAGCAATGGCCTGAAAAGATTGAGAGGAACAAGGATGGAGTGGGGGATTAATTGGCTGACCAACTCCAAAAATTCACATAAAGTTTATTTTTCTCCCTATTGATCCACATGTCAGCTGTGGAGAAACTTTCCCAAGAGGGAAAAAAACTTTTCCATCAACTCAAAGGGAATATATCCTCCTCATCACCTGCATGAACCAGAATCTTAGCTTCCAGAAGTAAGAATTTTTTTTCAAGAGATAGGTATGTACCGCATGTCATCCAGAAGTTTTACCTGCATGTCCACAGAGAGGCAGGATGAAAAGCTCACCTCAACCCTACAGGCAGGAGTACATGAGTTGGTAGGGAAAACAATCACAGATTCCAGGAAAACAGCCACTCCAATTTCCATTAAACAGTTCTCTAAACAGAGTACATGGTCCAATCCTACTTCTCCTCTTGATAATGACCCTTTTCGTTCACATTCATGTGAAATGAATAACAAATACAACAACCAGGACTAGAAAGGCCCTGCCTCCAGCCAGATGGAGGAAGGGGCAACTGTCAATTCAATGGCCTGGCACATGAGAACCAGAGGAGCATAAGGCTCTGTACAAAAGACCTACACGACATACGTACACAGACTGTACAGAAAAAAAAAATTCCCTTTCGTATTCTCTTAACTGTTATGCTTTGTTAACAGAGCTGGCAGTTCACATCCATTAGTATTAAAAATGCGCAGTACAGGCATTCAAATTACGTTTTGATTTTTTTACACAGAAGATGATGAGTACAGAAGAGAATACAAGTTCACTCTGTTCTGCACACTCCAGCTGAGTTAAGTAAAAATTGTTTGTTTGTATGCTGAATATCTTCAGTGCAGAATTAAAAAACAGGTTATAATACTATGCAACACAACATGAAAACTTTTTCACTGCTGCCTTATCTACAAAAAGTAATACTCTTTTAATATTACATGACAGATTATCTTCGAACAAGAATTTTTTGTTGTTTTTTATGTGCTTCCAAACAAAGGTTAGCAAATGAGATCCAATCTCAGCAAAAGCTCATGCTTAACTACTTACAATCAAAGCTTTCTTTCATTACTGTTTCTTTTCTATTTACACTATTTAAATATTTAAATATATATTCTGGAATTACTGAAAGCTGAAACACCCCCATATTCTCATTCTTAGTGAAAAATAAATTTTAAAAAGTTTGCATTAATATTTGCCACTAAGTGGTCAATATCCACAAGATTTATAGTTCACTAAATTCAAGCGACCAATTCCGCTTTTCAGATGCAGAACTGAACAAAGAACAAAGTTCTCACTGTTCCATGAAGGTAACAAAATTGATGCTTCCAGAAAACACTGAAAGTTAAAGTTTCCTTTGGAAATATCTTCAAAGCTGAGACAACATGAATTTCTGCCTTATGTGAACTGTAATAAAAAAAATCCCTTTTAATTTATAGAAAGAATTTATTTATTTATTTATTTTTTTATTAAATTATTAAATACTAATAGAAATAGCACTGGCTATACATAATTTCAACAAACTGCAGACATAAACTGTAGTAGCATCTTCTTGATTCGGATTCTTCTGCTTTCCTTAGACTTGTCAGTGAAGCACTATTACCTGAATTTTTTATTATACTGTCATAAAATATGTTCAGAGAGTGAAAAAGCAGTATATATTTTCTGTTTAACAAGAAGGGCATTGGATGAAACCCTTATTTTTTTCTATGGTAGCAATTTGAAAATAAATGAAAAATTGAAAAGCCCAGAAGCTAGGAAACATGCATTTCTAAAAGTTATGCACAAAAAAAAAAAAAAAAAAAAAAAAAGATTAATTCCTTAGAATTGATGTTTAACACAGCATAACCTTGACACTTCTGAGTCAAACCCTACTGCGGCACTGGATTTTAATTTTTCCTGTATATATACACACAAGCAAAATTTTACACACAGACACAAAGATTAATTGAAAACTTTAAGAAAATATCTATTTCACTTATATTTTACTCTGTCAAATATTAAAAAATAAGGTCAACGGCTGTAACAAAAACACACTTAGTCATGAGAAAACTCAAGTGAATCAGGAAACTGCAGAACCATTCAAATTTAAGAACCAAAAAAACTTGAGGAAAATCACCAGAAATCTACTACAGACTGCTTAAAACTTGATTGTACTGTTTTAACCTACTGTCACATGAATGAATAACTATTACATACCCTCTACAGACACGCTAAACCATGCATTTCTGAATGCTGTTCTTTCAAATCGATACAAACATAACCTAGCAACACACAGAAGTGGAAAAATACCAACGTTTTTAGCTATTTAGAAAACATTAATTTTATTTTCCTGATTTACACCCAGCTCAAGATGCCTGGGTGTAAATGGTGTCCCCCCCCTTCCTGCCACCCCACATGACTTCAAAAGGGATAAAAAAGATAAATTGTTCTAAAGGGCAGGTATGACATTCACATCGTGGGGCAACAAAGGCAATAGTAAAAATCGCCTCTCTTCCTCCCCAGCTCTGCCGGTCACAATCCGCCCGGCTGAAGCATCAGGGCAAGCAAAATACACTGCCTCCCATCCAGAGATCCCTTATGCGCAGCCAACGAAATGAGATCAGACGCAACTTTGAGAAGCGTGTGCGTCCGTTATTAAGGCTCACGCACCGCAGGGGACACGCGCCGCAGAGGGCCGTGCCGCGAACGAGGCACACGCCGTCCCTCCTCGCACAGCCCCGGCGGCGCCCGTTAGCGGCCCCTCGGCGGCGGTGAAAGCCGCCCTTCGACAAAACGCGGGAGCTCCGCGGGGAGGTGCGCAAGCGGAGGACAAGAGGGCCGCAGCACGGGGCTGCCGGGAGCCGAGGGGAAAGGCGCGTTTCTATCGGACCCAGGGCCGGGTGCCACGCAGCGGGGGCGCCGAACCCCGGCTGCCGCCAGGAGGACGCAGCCCCGCTCCAAGGACGCGGCCGCTCCCTCAGCCCGGAGCCGCCATCTTAAGTGCGGGCGCAGCGCCTTTCCCCCGGCGCTGCGGCCATACAAAGGCGGGGCACGTGATCGGCCCGCCGCGGGAGGCGGCGGTGCCCGCACTCAAGATGGCACGTAGGGCCTCCCGCCGCTTCCCTCCCGCCACCGCACGGCCCCTCCGCGCCTCTTCCTCGGTCGCTATCGCCCCGGAGCCGGCCGCGCTTACTCTGGGGGATAGAGGCGCAGCTCCTCGATATCGCCCAGGAAGCCGAAGAGAGTCCGCATCTGCTCGCTAGTGACCGCCGACGAGAGGTTCGTGACCTGGATGACGGACGTGGGGCCCAGGGGGAATCCGAGCGGCACCCCGATCCCTCCGCTGTTCATCATGGCGGATCCTGCACGACCGCGGCACTAACGGCACGGCCGCACGCAGCCGGGGAGGCGGGCCCGAGACGAAGAGCGGCGCGCGGCGTCTCGTCAGAGCGTCCCCGCGCGCCGCCGCTCTAGCCGCACACTCGACTGCTCCCGGAGGTGCTGCCGAGCTGCTCGCCTCCTGCCGGTAGAGGCGTGCAGGCGCTGCTAGCCCGCGGCGGAGCTCCTGCTTTGGTGGCGAGGCCGCGCAGGGAGAGGCCGGCGAGAGGTTCCGCTTCCCTTCTGTTGCCCTGGAGCCGGCAGGGCGGGCCGCCACGGGCGGGGCCGGCGCGGGGCCTCGGCAGAGCGGTTAACCAGAGCGGTTAACGGCAGCGCTGTGTCTGCCGGATTTGGAGGAGAGAGAGATTCCCGGTACAACGCTCGTTGGTAGCCGAAGGGCTCTCTTGGTTGTAAACAAGATCTTTCAGTGAGAGGCAGTTTAAAGCCTTGCAAACCTTCATCATAACGACACCGAACAGGAAGGGCTGTGAGAGAATGCGTCTTCAGTGGTTTTGTTAAAGCTGGATTGAGAGTCTCTCCCACTTACGCTGAGTTTGTCCAGAGTTATAGTCATAGAACCATAGAATTGCTGAGGTTGGAAAAGACCTTGAAGATCATCGAGTCCAACCACAACCTAACCATACCACCCTAACAACCCTCCGCTAAATCGTGTCTCTGAGCACCACATCCAAACGGTTTTTAAACACATCCAGGGACAGTGACTCAACCATCTCCTCGGGGAGACTATTCCAGTGCTTAACCACCCTTTCTGTAAAGTTGTTTTCCTGATATCCAACCTAAGCCTCCCTTGTCGCATCTTGAGGCCATTTCCCCTCTTCCTGGTTCCCTTTAAACACTAAATCGACTGGAGAAAATGGAACTGTGGTTGTGTGTTTTGGGCAGTCTATGTTCTAAAACCTAGCTGCAGTCTGAATTAGCTGATAAATACAGTGCATCCTAACACTAAAAGGGTAAGGTTGCAGGTGTGAATGTTTGAACTCTTTTAGATCTTCCACGCACCAAACCTAAACTGAAAAAGTATTGGAGCAGTCTTGAAGCTGTATGTGCTGAAAATAGATCTCAAATTTGTGATACTTCTATGATCAAGTAGGTCAGCCGGAACCGGCATGTCTCCGACTCTTGGTTACTGCTTCTGTATTTGCTGATGTACTTCACCTGACAGTAAAGTAAGAGCAGTATGTTACAGAATGTTAAATAAATCCAGGACAACTGCTTGAAATTTCTTAGAAATGAGAATGTTTTAGGTAGGACTGGAAATAATACTGCATACATCCTCTCTCTTCCAAATGAAATCCAGATTCTAAAAAACTTCAAGATGCAAGTTAAATCTTTTCTTTCAGGCATTCTATAATCTAACGCTAATTATGAAGCTATGAATCATAGAATCATGGTATCACCAAGGTTGGAAAAGATCCCAGGATCACCCAGTCCAACCATCCACCCATCACCGATAGTTCTCACTAAACCATATCTCTCAGAACAATGTCCAGACGTTCCTGGAACACCTCCAGGGTCGGTGACTCCACCACTCAGCCATTCCAGTGCCTGACTAATCTTTCAAAGAAGCATTATCTCCCCTGGCGCAAGCAGAGAATCTCCCCTGATGCAGCTTGAAGCCATTCCCTCTAGTCCTGTCACTATTATACGATAGAAGAGGCTGACTCCCAGCTCACTACAACCACCCTTCACGTAGCTATAGAGAGCAATAAGGTTTCCCCTGAGCCCGAAACTCAATGCAGTACTCGAGGTGCGGCCTCACCAGAGCTGAGTACAGGGAGACAATCACTTCCCTGTTCCTGCTGGCAACACTGTTTCTGATGCAAGCCAAGATGCCATTGGCCTTCTTGGCCACCTGGGCACACTGTTGGCTCATGTTCAGCCAAGCATCAATCAATACCCCCAGGTACATTTCCTCTATGCAGTCTTGCAGCCACTCCTCCCCAGGCCTGTAGTGTTGCTTGGGGTTGTTGTAGACAAAGTGCAGGACCCAGCATTTGATCTTGTTGAACCTTGTCCCATTGGCTTCAGCCCAGCTCTCCAGCCTGTCCAGATCTCTCTGTAGGGCCTCACTACCCCCAGGCAGATCGACACTTCCAGCCAACTTGGTGTCATCCGCAAACTTACTGAGGGTGCACTCAGTGCCCTCATCCAGGTCATCAATAAAGATATTGAAGAGGACAGGCTCCAGCCCTGATTTCTGGGGAAAACCACTCATGACTGAGTGAGATGCTTAACTGGAGAATTCAAGACTTTCCTTATATTTTAGGCAAAGTTGAATTGTATTATGATTATTTTGTCTGTGGAAATATCACATGAAGATTTCTCATGTTTTGACAAATAGCTATTCAGATGGCTAGCAGAAAGATAGAAACCACTACTGCTCTGAACATTCATGTTGCTTCTCTTTGCATGTGTTAGTAGAAGATACAAAAAAAACCAAGCTCTAAAATTTACTAAGAGAAAAATTCTGTGATGTCAGAACTGACTGAGATATCCTCCCTGAGGTAAAGCCTTCAATAATAAATACAAAAATCTGAGCTACTGTTCTCTGTACCCAAAACAAAACATAAGCAAAACTCCATTTAAATTTGGTATTAGCTTGGAAAAAAAAAAAAAAAAAGAAAAAATATTGAATTTGGATTTCAGAAGAATATGAAGGAAAAAGCCATAAAGCTGGAAGCCTTTGTTCTCATAGGCTGTCATTAAAATGTCAGAAGCAAGCCAAACTGTTTGAGGCTTAAGAATATGTAATAGTCACACTCTCTCTTATAATTAAAAAAAAAAAAAAAAAAGTTATAGTGTACCAACTAATGTGTGTATAAATGCAGGAAAGGTATCAATGTATGGACATTTCATGTTAATTACTCAAATGAGGCCTAGAAATTATACAATAGTCATATTTTTTCTTCTTCTCCCAGGTAAATATTTAATTAATAGCTGGTCATTTTTCTGAGGTTTAACCCCGGTAGGCAGCTTGACACCACGTGTCTGTTTGCTAACTCGCCACATTGGGATGGAAAAGAGAGTCAGAAGGACACAACTATGAGAATTCACTGGCTGAGATAGACTGTTGAGAATCATTTAATGTGAAAAATGACTCTTGAGATCATCAAGTCCAGCCATCACTTGGCATGATACCAAGTCCACCACTAAGGACATCCAGTCCTCAGATCTCTTGAATACCTTCAGGGATGGCAGCTCCACCATTTCTCCAATGCATAGCAACCCCTTCTGTGAAGAATTTCTTCCTAATAGCTTGTCTAAGCCTCTAGTAGTGCAACTTGAGGCCACTGTTTCATGTAGTAGTGCTTGTCACATGAGAAAAGAGACAAATACTCTTCATGCTACAACCTCCTTCAGGTGTTTGTAGCAAGTGATTAGGTCTCACTCAGCCATTTCCAGACTAAAGAATCCCAGTTCCTTCAACCACTCCTCCTAGGTCTTGTTCTCTGGCCTTTTCACTGGTTTGATTGTTCTTTGGACGCGCTCTGAATACCTCTGCAGTACAGTGGCCCAAAACTGACCACAGTGCTCAAGGTGAGATCTCATGAGGGCTGAGTACAAAGAGACAATCACTTTCCTAGTTCTGCTAGCCATATTATTTCTCATACAGATCAGGATGGCATTGGCCTTCTTGGCCACCTAGTCACATGGTTGTCTCATGTTCAGTCCGCTGTAAGCCAACACCATCAGGTCCTTTTTTGCGAGGCATCTTTCCAGCCAATCTTCCTCAAACCTGCAATGCTACATGGGGTTGTTAGAACTCAAGTGCAGCATCTGGCATTTAGCCTGGTTGAATGCCATACAAGTGGATACATTGATGAAGCCTATCGCAATCTCTATGCAAAGCCTTTCTACTCTCATGCAGATCAACACTTACATCCAACTTGGCGTTGTCTGCAAACTTAGTGAGGGCATACTTAACCCCCTCATCAAGATAATAAATAGTAAAGAAAATTGAACCCAGTATTCAGCCCTGGGGAATACCACTTGTGAAAAGCTGCCTATTGGATTTAACATAATTCACAACAATTTTCTGGACCTGTCCATCCAGCCCGATTATTGCCCAGTGATCGATGAGCATATGTCCAGACCATGAGGATACAGTTTCTCCAGGAGAAGACTGTGGAAAACCATATCAAATGCTTTGCTGAAATCCAAGTAAACAACATCCACAGCATTTCCCTTAGCCACTGATCAGATCATATAATCAGAGGAGGAGAAGTGGGACTTGCCTTTCTTAGATTCATGCTGACTGGGAACAGTCAGCTGATTGTCCTATGAGAGCCCTGGCACTCAAATGATACACTCCATGACCTTTTTTGCCATCAAGGTTAGACTGACAGGTGTGTGAATTCTAGCAGAAGTTCTCTGTTCAGCCAGGTTAATGTTCTTTTCTGCTGGCTTCTCTTCTTTGCCTTTCAGCATTTAGAGATGGTCTGCTCCCATGCTTTGAGATTTCTTTCATGAGGAATGTTCAGCATTCCTGAACTCCTCTGTCCTTTAAAACCAACTCTCATGATAGCCATGCCCAAAATGGCGTTCAAACAATGCATCACCCACAAAACACCTTCACTAATCACTCACCACCTGTGTTAGGAAGTTATTCTCCTCATATTACAGAGAACTAGTCTTTTGCTTCTCCACTGTATTGTATTTCCAACAGATGCCTGGGAAATCGAAGTCTCCCATGAGAATAAGTGCTTGTGATTGTGATACTTCTCTTAGCTGCTCACAGAATATTTCATCTGCTTTTTCATCCTGATAGTATCATCTATAACACACTCCAGTCACCGTCTCACACTTGTTGGACTTTCCTCTGACTCACACCCAGAGGTACTCAAACCTTTCATCACCATAGTGAATCTCCATACAGTCAAGACCTTCTGTAAGTTATTAGATACTTCTCCACCTTCTTTTTCTCCCTGCCTATGTCTTCTGAAAAGCCTGTAGCCATCCATCTCAGCACCCCAAATTGTGTAGCAGCAGAAAGAAGGTAAGAGAAAGCTTGGACCCCTTGCTGAACAGAGATGGGGTCCTGGTGACAAAGCACATGGAAAAAGCTACATTATTTACTGCCTTCTTCATCTCAGTTTGCACTGGTAAGACTTATTTCTGGAAATCCCAGACCCTTGAGACCAGTGGAAAAGTCTGGAGCAAGAAAGCAAAGGAGAATCAGATAAGGGAAGGCTGAACAAATTGAACATACACAAGTCCATAAGGAAACTAGCCAGCATCATTGTCACTACTGATTGTCTTTGAAAGTTTGTGATGACAAGAGGAGCTAAAGGAGGATGGGGGGAAAATAGATGAGTGTTACCCCTAAATTCCAGATGGGCAAGAGGGAGTATCTGAAAGCTAAAGGCCAGTCAGCCTGTAGCTTCATCTCAATCTCTGTGAAAGTGACAGAACAAATCTGCTTGGATGCTACTTTCAAACATAGTTAGGACAAATAGATGATTGAGGGTAGTCAGTATGGATTTATGAAAGGGAAATCATGGTTGACTAACCTGACAGCCTTCTACAATGAAATGACTGAATCTGTGAACAGGAGGAGATAAATAGATAATGTTTATCTCAACTTTATCAAGGCCTTTGTCACTGCATCCCACAATACCCTCA